TTAAAAATATATACTATATATAATTATTTTTTTACCATTTTTGCAATATTTCATTAAAAATGATTTAAAATAATCTGCCTTTTCAATAGATATATCAACTTGAACCATTATTTGAAGAAAATCTTTGATAAATGTTTCTTTAATATCATCACTTTGTTTAAAAAATTTAATTCCAACTTGGAGCAAGGTTGATTGTACAGGTTTGTTAGAGTTAGATGTATGCTTATCCGACTTTAGATAATTATCAATCGTGGACTTTTTTTCATAGTTTACTATAACTTGACATACTTTACAAAAAAGTTTTCTACCACTAACATAAAAATCTGATTTATACTTGGGGTTTTTGGCAAGATGTTCTGTAGCAGTTACCATAATTATTACAAAATAATTGATGAAATTTAACAAAAAAAAAAATTTCAAATTAATTTTTTTGAAAAAAAAATTTTGCCGATTTGATCTTTTATGATCTTTTATGATCTATAAAAATTGACCAATCAGCAGGTGCCAATTATGATTATGCGATTTTTGGTCAAATTATGCTTAGCATCTATTATGCTAAAAATTGGTCTATTATGCGCATCGCATCGCATCGCATAAAACTGAGGTCTCTACTCATGGTTCTAATTGGACAGTTGTTCTAATTGGACAATGCCAACTACGTCATCTTTCATCTATCAATCAAATTAAAAGATCAGATGTAACATAAAATTTTCAAAAAAAAAAAAAAAATTCAAAGTTTTTAAAGTTTTCAAAAATTGCAGTAGCTTAAAATTATAGTTACAAAACTACTTTTTGTGTTCTAACAAAAAAAAATTCTTTGTAAAATTTTGGTATAATATTTGTTCTATTAAACCTTTATACTGTTTCAATAATATTTTCATTATTTGATCGAAAAGTAGGATTTTTTTCTCGTCCAATAGGAACTGTGGGGAAAAATTAGTAAACCTGAGATATCAATTTACTAATTCAATACTTTAAATTTTTATTTTTTGTTTTGTTAAAAAGGCATCTATCTATAATTAGTGATCTGGAAGCTTTTTGAACATCGAATTAGATTAGTTACTGTATAATATGAGTGATGAAAAAGGAAAACCTGTAAATGATTTACAGGTTTTCTGTTTTTGTTACTCATATAACATATCTTTCTAATGAACTCAATAATAAAATTTTGGTTTAATTTAAATTGATGTGTAGAAAATAAACCAGATAGTAAAAAAAAAAATTAGACGTATTATCAAAATAGAACAAAGTACAAAAGCTTTTTTCACAAAAATACTTTTTTTTTTATCCTTAGCTGTACTAATGCTGTTTCGATAAAAGATTCAAAGATTGAATTGTCTACTCGAATTGTCATCTTAGCAGATCTTCACTTAAGTGTCTTTTTTTTATTCTTAATTGTGTCTACACTGTTTTTATTGCAGAATTCAAGATTAGGTTGCCTATTGGAATCATTACCTTCAGCAGATTTGAATATCATTCAAATGCTTTTTTTTCATTATTATCTGTGCTTATGTTCAAAGTTCCAAATAAACTGTCTCATCAAAATTGCCATCTTTTAGCAAGTTCCAAATATTACTTGATTGTTTTTTTTTGTAAAATTCAAGATTAGGCTGTCTATCAGAATTGGCACTTTTGAATACCAGTCAAGTGTCTTTTTTCGTTCTTAGCTATGATTATATTATTTTTATTGTAGAATTCAAAACTAGGTGTAATTAACAGCAGCATTAATAAACAAATTGAAAACTGTAGTTAATTAAAAATAAATTAGTAAAATAATGTGAATAAATAATAAAAAAATGTTATCTTAATAAGATATAAAATAATAAAAATTAAATCTAAATCTAAAATATATAAACTCAAAGTTTTTTAAGTTTTGTCAAAAAAAAAATAAAACTTTAATGAATATGAAGCCTGATGATTAAATTACTCTTGTTAGTATTCATAAATAATAAGACAGATTACGATATATAAAATTAATCAATTTAATTAAGCAACAGTCAAACAATAAGATTTTTAATAAAAAATAACTCATATTTAATTTATATTTTTGACAATAAACTAAACTCTAAAATTCACAAATTTTATTAATAAAATCAAATAAAACATTTTAGAAATCTATAACTATTCCCAAATATTGTTATCACTCTTAACTTCTTCATAAATTTTATTCTCAATATTATCACCATTAATTACTTCAGAATTTTTATCATTTTTATCTGTTGGATTTTCATTTAACAACTTATAATCAAAAACCTGATCGTCTTCTGTTCTATCCATTTTAACTGAAATACCACAGCACTTAAATGCCTTTACTATCAACTAGGAGTCAATCTCCTCCTATGAATCCTTTATCTATTATGCAAAAATAGTGTATGATGGTTTTCTAAAATAACCAACAGATGTTAATTAATGGATCACAGTAAACATCTACTTATTATAACGATAACATACCTAAAAATTTAAATTTTATTAATGCTGTATACTCAAAAAATCAAAATATTTCAATAATATCTTATCCTTAAAGCTCTTATTTATCATAACATCTAGGGGCTGTAGTTTACTAGTTAACCTTTCAGGAATTACTGCAAAATGGATATTATTTTCTTTAAATTGATGTTTAATAGAATCCATTAAATGACCTCTAAAGGAGTCCAAAACAAGAAGAGACTGTGGTTTTATTTCTTCACTACGTTTGCTCTAAATATTATTAATTCAATAGTGCACCTCATTCTCATTATACCATTTTTTTTCATTTACTCTAATAATAACACCTTGAGAAAACACATTACGAGGGATAAGTTTCAACTTAAAAATACATACAGGCAGAAGCTTTATTCTATTAGTGAGACATCCAAGAATAACAGTAAAATTTGTTCTTTCATGTTCAGTGGTTCTGATACCTACAGTTTTTGATCCATGCTTTTCAAGAATAACTGAGCTAAGTATATCGAATAATAAGGACGTTTCATCCATGTTGATTATACAACTAATAGAAAAGCCATATTTCTGATGTTTAAACAAAATATAGCTTAAAAATTAACTTTTTTTTTCTTCAAGCTTAGCTGGAAGGTGCTGTGAAACTGTCATACATCTACGGTTTAAAAAACTATAGTGGGACAAGAACTGATTTAACCAGTTTTTAGAAAATTTAAAAATACCAATATCAAGATAAATATCTTTAAATTCATTAGTTTGTTCTAAGGCCTTAGCCTTTTTCTCAACCATATTTCTGGTAACAGCAGCATGATGGAAAGTCCTTTTGATTGGCTAATGTGATACAATTGTAATGTAGATCGTTACACAAATATTTATATTAATTTTAGAGTACTCTTTATATGCAAATGCAATCGTTCATATGACAAGTGGCTAAATATGTTACGTACGAGCGAATAATTTTAAGAATACACTGGCCTTTTACTTTACTAGCGGTTAGCAGATTTAATCCCATATAATCCCATTCCCGGAGGACTTTTACTAATGCCGAATTTTTGCTAATAGTATGATACTATTAGGCTATTAGCAAAAATTCAGCATTAGTAAAAGTTCTCTGGGAATAGAATTAAATCTGCTAACTGCTAGTAAAATAAAAGGTCAGTATATTCTGAAAATTATTCGCTTGTACGTAACATACTTAGCCACTTGTTATATGAATGATTGCATTTGCATATAAAGAGTACTCTAAAATTAATATAAATATTTGTATAATGATCTACATTACAATTGTATCACATTAGCCAATCAAAAGGACTTTTCATCATGCTGGTAACAGCATTCTGCTTTTTATAGCATTTATTAATCCATTCAACAAGCCTTTCTTCTAATAACAGAAATTGGGTCTGACAATTACAATTAAACGTTAAAATGTAAGACATGACACTTAGAAGCTCTTGCTTTTTGTTCAGTCATTCATGAACCTGCTTTGGTTCAATTTCAAATCTTCTTGCAATGACTCTCACATTTTTAATATGCTCATAGTAATTAATAACCATAATCTTCTTTTTGGTATTCTATGAACAACAGTTTTTATTGATAATACAGGCAGTTCTTTTGATGTTGCTTCTTTGTGAAGACATTTTTGGTACTAAAAAAGTTTGCATATGTATCAAAAGATGTTTTTTTTTTTTTTTTTATATAAAATTGGTTCAGGAACCACAATACACAACAAATTATATGCGTTACTATTAATTCATAAGACCACATGAGGCCATACTCCAAGTTAAGGAATAGAAATGCCGGAAGGCAAGAATCAATTGATAAGATGGGCAAGCAAATAATGTTTGTTATATACAATTGGATTTTTACAATAAACTTTGAAGATCTTTATGTATGACATCGAATCTATGACTCAATAAGATTACTAAATCAGGTGTAACATGAAAATCACGCTTTTTTTAAAAAACAGACGATAACTAAAATTTTTGACTATGAAACCACTTTCTGCGCTCTAATAAAAAAAATTTCTCGTGGAATTTTGGTATAGAGTATGCATACTATAATCTCTATACCAACCTTAACATGAGGTTTTAGTACTTTAAAATATTACGCATATTAAAGTTGGTTTGATTATTCGAAAAGATCTGATTGGTGCATATACGATGGTCTCACTGGGGTAGCTCATACTCATGCGTATGGTCATGTTCGGCCAATCAGTAATAGGAATTACTTGCAGCCAATAAAAGTTTAACCTGACATATACCCCGGGTATACATGTTGGGAAATTACGGTAAATTGAAGGATCAGGTGTAACGTAAAAATCACGTCTTTTTAAAAAATAGCCATTAACTCGAAATTTTACCTATGAAACTGCCTTCTGCGTTCTAATAAAAAAAATTCCTCGTGAAATTTTAGTATAAACTATGCCCTTCCTCATCCCTTACCCTAACATGATGCATCTTGCTTTAAAATCTTTCGCTTAATTCGATTGTTTTGATTTTACGTTACACCTGATCCTTCGATATAATTGGCTAAAAATCACGTTGCGGAAAAAATTTTGTGGGTGAGCTACTATTAATGATGACAACCAACCCGACATGTGATGAGGCTTAGCTTGTGCAAGAGGGATCGTCGTTCCTTTATTCGGGGTCACGGCATCAACGGTATTTTATGGAGCGTTTCGGGGGTCGTCTGGCGATAGTTTTCTGAGGTCCCAGGGTCGGGTTTACCTGTAACAATGAAAACAGCTGTATGCATTTTCTTAACCGGTTCACCTGAATTTTTCGGTTGAGTTCGGTTACCAGATTATGGCCTATCCGGTTCAAATCACTAAGCAGATTGTGTACATGCATGAAAAAAAAAAGTTGAAAAATATCAAGATTAAAGGAAGATTAAGGATTATTATTCTGGCAACTTCAATATAAAATGAAAGACTATTCTCTGATCTCGGTAATTATATTTTTGTAAACTGAATCCGTTTATCTTCAGGTTTAATAATACGTATTTGTGATTTATTCCACTACAAGAATAATTTTAATAATTTTCGTTGCATAATCAAGTAGCTTGTGCACTTGATACTGGAGATTCTAACTTTAATCCAGTGAATAACGAAGTATAAAAAGAATCGAATATTAATTTTGTTTCTTGATCATAAGCCTGGCAGGGTTAGAATCAAATTTATTTATCCTTTTTTTTTTTTTGAGGAAAATTGGTTATAACATTAAATTAGTGTTGGAATACTAATACTCAAGCAAATACCAAACTACCAAATAAATGGTAAATAAATAGATATTTAGCATTAAACCACCAAAAATTCATTATGCAAATTGTTTAAAGGTTCATCATTGTGTGCTGCATTTCTCTATTTATACATATATAACTTAAAAGCGATTAACTAATGAATTTAATTCAATAACTATAAATTACATTCGATATTTATTCCAAAGTCCAAATCCATTGCTTCCATATCAATCAAGGTCCGTTCCATAGTTTCTAGGTCATTTCTTCCTTCTTTCAATTTGTTCATCATCTGTTGAGATTCCGATGCAATTAATGTGTAATTGTTCCTATAGGTGTTTAGTAATTCACGTCTGAAAAGTTATCATTTAACAGAATATTTTTAATAAATGAACGTTACAAGTATCATATAACCAAAATTTGGAAATTATCGTACTTGCGTTCAAACTGTTTCTCCAAATTTTGACTCAAATTTGTCTCGCTTTGAATTATAGCATTTTCAGAAGTTTGAAATAATGTAGAGTCTTGTCGTTGAAATTGTTTAAATATTGCCTATTTGAAATTATCAATTATAAATATCCATTATATTCTCTTTATATTCTTCTACGATAGATATATATATACCTCTCCAATAAGTTGTAATAAACTTCTGATTTCCTCGTCCAATTGATCATCTGTAAATTTTATTTTCTCAACCTCGTCGGTTTTTCTTTGTATCGCGTCGTTATCATTAATAGTAGATGAACTATCACGTGAATTAATAATGTATAAATCTGCAACAATAAATAAATTCAAAATGAGCTAGATATATTAAATTTTTCCTTTACAATTGATATTTATAAAAAACCGAAATACCATCCTGCATCGAAGTTTCTTCATCTTTATCTTCATCTGCACCCAAATAATTTGTAAATGCTTGTAACCGTTTTATAAAAGCAACTACGGTAAAATCTAATTTTAAAATATTACACTAAAGATGAAAGTTGAATTACTTTAAAAAAATTTTTTTACCATGCCTATTTTCACCTTTGTCGTCGGATTTCTTTTCTATAATTAAATGAGAATGAATTTTTTTTTTTTCATAAATATAATTCACATTGTTTACTTACTATATTTTGACTTTGGACGTTGTACATCAGTCATATCTATACATTCAATATCACTGGAGGAATCATAGTTGTTTTTTTGCTTTGGATTCCAAAATTCTTCTTCACTCATTATTTGGCTTTCGTCATCATCGACCTAAATTTTTAAACTCTTAATCAACCAATCGTAATAAATAATAAAACGGTTTTAATTCTTTAATTCCTATACCACAACTAATTTCTTTCCACTTTTTTTTGTTATAACTCGATAATTAGAATTGCTTTGATCGTCACTTCGATCTTCTGGTCCATTATTATTTAAATCCAGAGTTTTTCGCTTGCTCCCTCCGTGACCTACTTCACGGTTTTCCCCTGTATCATTTTTGTTTTTGAAAGTAACGTTATTAAATAAATTTTTTCTTGTTACATTTGTTTTAGCTAAAGAGTTGAAGTTTTCGTTTTCACGTGGTAAGCCAAATAGTTTGTCGTTTTTTACTGAAGAGCCGTTATTATTTTTCGCAACGTTTGATTGGTGTCGTTCTTTTTCAAGGTCCGCTCCATTTGATATCTTTGTATCATTTCGAGTTTCCACTCGTCTTTTTGCTATATTTTTTGGACTATCTTTACCATATCTAGATTGATCTGTTCGCTTTTGCACATTATTTACAGCCAATCTTCTGATCTCATCATTAACATTTGTTGAAACGTTCTCGTTACTTCTTATGGCACTTGGACTTGAACATTCTTTGTCTAATATTGTTTCATTCACAACAATTTCGTTGCCTTTTTCCACAAGATCAGCATTATTACTAATCTTGTTTTTTTTCTTTGAAGCAGACAAGTTCAATGGCTTTGTTCGCTGTTTTGGCGGTGGAAAAGCATATCTATGATTTACATTATAATTATTCTCTAATAATTGCGTTATTGACTTGCGATCCATAGAATTTGTGTTGTTACATGGTGAATCTTCATTTGACGAAGACGACATTGGTAAAGGTGGTGGTGTAACATTTTTTGGCAATTGACTGCGACTTTTCGTAAGAATATTATTGAATGTACTTGTATTATTTTGGGGTTCATCAGCATTCACTAGAGTGGCTTCTTCATCAAAATCAGTATCTTTTAGTATGTTAATATGTCTATCAATTCGATTAGACGTAGGTGTCTTAGAGGCTTCTAAAGATTTCGACAAAGTATCAAAAGCAGCGGCAGTATTGAACGAAGAAGAATGCGGCTGTAAAATTCCTATGGAAACAGACACCTTTGGTTGCTGTGTCTTTGGTTTCTAGATTATATAATTATAAAACATAAATATAATTGAATTGTTATTTATTAAATTATCAAATACAGTCCGACCCCTCTATAATCACACTCATTATAAGCACATCATATAAAAAGCCTCTTTATAAGAACATCTCAGTAAAATCTTTTTATAAGCACACAAATATTTATCCCGAGGGGTGTGATTATACGTAGAGATTTGACTGTATATTCGAAAACCTTTTTTAAACTCACAATTTTTTGATTAGTAAATATCTTCTCAATACTGTCTTTTATCCTGCCTTCAACAGGATCAAATGTCATGTTAAGAACATGTTCATCAGTGGAAAGGTTCTGACCATCAATCTTCAAAGGCTCGGAAAGGTATAACTTCAAGATTTGGTCTATAATTGAAAAAAAATGTAATCATCTATTTTTTAAATTATTTTTATGAAGGGTGAAATCTAGCGCAGATCTATATTTAATTAGGTTTAGTCACTACTTTAGGTTATTTACCAAGATCGCTCTGAAAATCCCATGATGATATTTTAGAATATTTGATATCTATTACATCAACATCTGCAGATTCATCTTCCTGAAAATTTTTTGCATTGGCTTAGTATTAAAAAAATAGTATACACAAAGAAGCATTTATTAAAAATATACATTAGTTTCCATGGATATTGTGGATATTGTAACAGATATTGTCCATTTATTAAAATCCACAAAGAAGTAACGTTGACCTTCAGGACTGTATAATTCACATTGATTATACTTCATGCGAGAAACTTTAAACGTTTTTGGTCTATTAGCAATGATATTTATGAGAATCATATATAAGGGATTTGCTGCTATGTAGGTATAATATATATAAAGAATATACACACGTTTTTGATATCCCGTCATTTCTTGCATTGATCTCGTTCAAGAAATGCCTCGAGTCCTATAATAATAATCAGTCAAATAATATAGAATTGTGCAATATAATATTAAAAGCAATAACTATTACAGAATAAGATTAAAATAAAATGAAAACTAGTTTATTAAGTCTAAAGAAATGCATCAAAAAATTCTATTGCGGCGTGTAATTTCAAATTATAATAGGACAAAATTTCATTTTAATCTGCCACAATAATTATATACCTCGAAAAATTCGTTGGCTGTAATACTAAGAAATTTTGTTACAACTGCTTGATCCATAAATGCCTTAGTTGCAAAATTTTCTCGATCTTTTTGCACTCTTGGACATAACCTGAAAAGGATCTCAAGATGGCGAAGTTGAAGTTCATAATCTAAATGAAACGATTTAATAGAATTTTTACACATTAAGTTTCTTACACATTATTAATTAAATTAAAATAAGCACAGTAGAGTTTGGTTTTATGTTTCATATGTTAAAATTAATTAAAACCGAGTTTAACAAAAAAAAAATAAAACTGGTCCAAACACTAAAGCACATACCTAACGCAGATATCATAGAGGAAGCAAGATCAGAGCTACATTGGAACAAAGAGTCAAGTTTATGATAGAGAAAAAGTTGCAGCATCAATGTACAAATAATCTTATAAAGGATACATATTAAAAAACTGTTCCTGACTTAACAGCTTTTTATTTTCTTTGCATCCCGTCAAAAGGGCATTGATAACATTTGCTGCCTTGAAAGATATTTATATAAGAATTCTTCTATCCAAAAAAAACAACATGCATCAAATACAAATTATCAACTTCCGTACCATTCTTCTGATATCGATTGGGAAGGTTGGTTTTAGCAACGCTTGTGAAAGAATTTTGAGACAAAGTTTCCCCAATGTCTCTCGATCTTGTAAAATTTGATATAGATTTATTTGGTTTATCAAAAATGATCACATCGATATTCAGAGAATAGAATACGTTACCTGCGCTATCTTGCTGAACAAATTTCTTTAAAGAGAAGATTAATTTATGATATTTTTTATTATTTTATGAACAATTTTTACATACGTACCTCAATCAGAGAAAGAGCTTCAAGTACAATTTTCACCCAATCATCTTCTTGACCATTTTCAAGCAAACCGCTATTAATAACTATTAAAGCGATGTGGCACAATATGTCTCTTGATTTCTTTGCGACATCTTTATTATCTTTGTATTCATGAAGCAAATATCCCAAGCCATCTATAGCTTGCTGATAAATAGTCGTATTGGTATCATAAAAGAGATTTGGTCTCGAGAGCTTGTAGTGCAGATAGTTGGACGAATGTAAAAATATATTGGTTTAAAGTAACGACATGAAATAAATGTTTTACCTCATCTTCTAATATTTTTAATAACTTTTGAAGTGTCTTCTGTAATCTGTAAAATTTACAAGTAAAACAAAACAAACTTTTAGTTACCAATGAGTTGTGACAATATATACCCTATTGTTTAGGTAATATTATTACGGACTCTTTAGAAGCAATAGAACTCCCTTTCTTTGATGGTCTTCCACGTTTTTTCTTCTCACATCCTACTGATTTTGTGCTAAGAATGTTATTAAGATCGTCGAACGCTTCTTTCAAACTATACTTTGACTTGGACATTTTCAACTTGAGATAAATTCAAATGCCGGGTTTATAAAATATTTAATATCGTAAAAGTCTATAAACAAATAAAATAAACTCGCAATTATCTAGATTTCCAAATTAGTAGTTTATTAATTACGTAACTTATTACGTATCAGGTATAATTAAACATTTTTATTACGTAACCAATTTGTATGTAATCTTTTTTTTTTTTGGTATTAAGGTGAGGCCTACCAATTTGTATGTAATCAATATTATTACTGTTAATAATTTATTATTGTTTAATAATTTTATTACTGTTTAATAAATTTAGGGAATTGATATTTCCACACCATTTTTTGATATTGCCACACCCCTGCTAACTCTAAACCTACCAAACCCCTAATAATCTATATTGATGTTTATAAACAGGGGTGTGGCAATATCAAAAAAGGGTGTGGAAATATCAATTTCCTAAATTTATTACTGTTTAATAATTTTATTACTGAACAAAAATATATATAAATTTGCTGGTCATTGGTCAAAGGGTTTCCGGTCAAACTGGTCTGGTCAAATGGTCTGGCTATAACCAATCAGACCAATTAATGTTATCATTTTGAGCTTATAGAAATATTTCGAAGTTCTAAAATAATGTCGAAATTCTAAATAATATCGAAATGTTTAAATAATGCCGAAATGTCTAAATTAAAAAAATACATAAACCAATTTATTAGCAAGTGTCCGAACTTGTTTTTTTGTGGAGTGCAGCTATATACAAAATAGATTTGATCAAAAACTGTTGCTTGTCCTATCAAGCAGGTTTAATTATATATACTTTCTAAAAGACACCTGCCTGAAAATTTTCCTATATTTTTATGAAAGTTTTTTTCACACAGTATTCACTATACTAAATGTTTATAACTTGGATCTTACTATCAATCAAAAACTAGTTACTTTTAATATACAAGCTCTCTTTATCACTAATTTAGACATTTCGTCATATAATATTTATTTAGTCAACTATTAGGCATTTAGTCAAATTTAGGATTTTGACATTTCAACAAAAATAATGCTATGTCGAAATATATTTCGGCACAGAATTGTCTAAATAGGGTATTTCGACTAATAACATTAAGATCAATCAAATTGGTCTGTTCAATCGATTTGTTCATGTAACCAGACTATTTGACCAATTTGACCAATATCAAAGATGCTTGGTCGGACTGGTCATTGGTCAAATTAGTCTGGTCAGCCCAACACTGATAGTAACAAATAATGGAAATCATTATGAAATTATCAAGATCACAGACATTACACACTTGTTTGTGACTAGGGTGATAGTAATGGGTATGTATGATAAATATAGGAATATATGTGGGCATCAATCAAAAGCTGGATAGATCCATTTGCCGAGACTGGACATGTTGCGTGAATATGTCAATGCCAATTTTTTAAATGATATAAAATACGGTATATAAACATGCTTGGGCACGGATGTGAACAGATCGAAAGAGGCCTTGAATATCGAAAATATACAACCTTTGGTTATTTCACATTGTATTTCATCAACAGTCCATTTGTTCCGACATAAATATGGGGAATTGATATTTATATCTCATTTTTGATGTTTAGCAGTCTTAAGCAAAGTTGTTCCTCATACTTTTCTAATTATAATGGTTAATAATTATTGAGTTATCTATATTTAAATTTAATAAATTTAACTTTAAATAAGGACTACTAATTTAATTTTAATAATTTTGCTACTATTAAATCCAGAAGAGTATAAGGAACAACTTTACTTAAAACTACTAAAGAGGTTTACTTAACAATATCTATTTTGGAGCACTTTTTGTTTAATGGAAGGTATAAATATCAAGAATAATATCAATTCTCTAAACATAATATTCATAAAAAAATTTCTACTTTATAATTTCATTTAACGTTCTTCCAGGAGGGATTTACTTATTTCTGCAAGTGATACAAATCACGTGCCAATAGTAAATACTTGTGATCTACATATGAAAATTTCCTTTTTGAATCAGAACGTCCATGAGATCGGACACGTACCAATCACGTGGTATTTTGCTTTATGGACACGTACCGATCACATGATATTAATTTATTATATAATTATTTTACGAAATAACAAACTCAAACAAAAATGCATTTTTCATAATAAATTATCAAAGACTTCACTTTAATTATTCATATCAATCAATCCAAGCTGCGTACAATAAGATACATTGACACAATTATTGAAAATGACTTATTGTTGGATGATAAGGCGATCCAAGACCTGTTAGATCTTTTTTGACAAGATAATTTTAACATCATTAGCCAGGATTCACGATGATAGTTGTAAGTCAAAAATCTGAAATGAGTGATACAAATTTTAGATAATTTTTAAATATAAAATTAAAATGTCAAATTTTATGTCAAACGATGATGTTGCAACCGATATCAGCATAAAATTTGTAATGAGTTTTTTTAAAATTTTATACTTGGCAATGCTAATATTGATTAATTTGTCTTTTTTTATATGTAGTGAACATTAAAAGACACATAGCCTACTTTGAAAACAAGCCAATATACTGTGCTATAGATCAGTTTATAGACTGATCTTTAGGACAAAGAATAGACTAAGTTATTCTATAATAAGTTATTTCAATTGCTATGATAATGTGTCTAATTGTGTGCAACTTGGATTAATTTATCAGTTAATTAAAGTAAAGTTTTTAATAATTGACTTTTATTTATTTGAGTTTGCCACTTCATAAAAAATAGTTATATAATAAATTAATATCACGTAATTGGTATATATCCATAATGCAAAATATTACATGATTAATACATGTCTATAATGCAAAATATTATGTGATTAGTACATGTCTGTAGACTTTCTACTACTTAGGATCACATCAAATTTTCACTTTCATGTAATAATCATTCAATAGTGAGTCTCATTTTAATGTATTATTACATATCGGAAAGATTAAAACAAAATGTTTGTTTTTTAAAAATCACTTATTTCTCAAAAACTTGCATAAGAAACCACCTTTTGTACTCTAACAAAAAATATTTCTTGAATGATTTTACTATTACTTCTCTAATGCTAACTTTAACTTAAATAATTTAAAGATTTTTAAACACTGTTACATGAAAGTGAAAATTTTAACAATGATACTGGGTAAGATGTTTACCAAATTTTTATACTATATCTGGTTAAATGATTCTGGATTTAATTAGTTACTCATGCATTACTTATGCATCATTTATAATGCATTTGTTTTACTTTAATTTACTATATTTATTTTTTATATATATTATGATATATACTAAACAAACTTTGTCTTTTTCCAAAGCAAATAACAGTACTACTAATAAAAACAACACTTCATCAAAAGTATTACAGGTTTTATATAAAATCTTAAAGTTATAAGTTAGACAATAATTAAAATCTGTCAGGATTATGACTGTTAAAATTTTGTTAGTTAAGATTTCAAATAGACTTTTGCTTAAATTTGTTATTATTAATATAATAACATTAGATTTACAGACAAATTTTTTTTTTCAAACCAAAATCAAATTAAAATCATAGCATTAAACAAAAATATTACTTATAAAAGGATCTAATAAGAATGATATTTATATTGAAACATATTTTGAAGAAACTTTGCATTGTAGTAAAAATTTAAGTAATATATTAACAAATGCAGAATTAGTTTCTTTAAAAGAAAGAGATTTTTTTAATAGTTTTGAAGAAGTTAAATTTTAGATATAATGATTTGCTAAATATAAGGGTTTTAAGATATAACTTGGATATTTAAAAACAGTAAAGACAATAAAAAATAAAAAGAAAACTTACAAATAAATTATTTTTTACAAGCATTTAGATTTATTTAAACCAAAAAACAATACAAAGTCAAGTACTTCAGCTTAATTACTATACCTTTGACATATTAATCTTTCATAACTTTTAAAAAAAATTCCTAGTTCTCATATAATTATTACTACTTTAAATGATAATCATAATCATAACCTGTAATCTAAAGCAATATAGTTTAAAAAAAATAAACAGTTTACTGAAAAAATACAAGAAAAAGTCAAATTTCTTGTTATTAAATGTCAATTTGGCTCAACTATAATATGACATATCTTAAAAAAGAAGTTTTCTTCTAATTTTATATTTTTCAAGAACCTTTATTCTAAACTACAATAATATTGATCATTAAATAATACAATTAAAAATGATGCAACATATTTTTATAATCAATTATTGTCAAAACAATAAGAAAATTCTCATTGGTTTATTAAGATTATATTGAAAGATGAAACTAATATATTAACAAATTAGTTCTAAATAAGTTCAAAACAAATTCTATTATAGTGTAAATTTGGTAAGTCAATTGGTTATGACAACACTGCTGGTACTAATAGGTACAACATCCTTTTTCTTTATTTGTATCTTAAAAAGATAATATATAATTACATGTTGTTACTCAAGTTTTTGTTTATAATAAAACAACTGAAACATACCAATAGGTTCTTTAAATAACAAAAAATACAACCAATAATAGGTATCTTCAGGTTTTTGTAACTAATAGTGATCCAGTCATAGAACAAGCAGTAGCTTTAAAGTATCTAGGAACTAACATCTTTCTTATATTTGACATGTTAAGAAAAATATAAAAAAGATGTTGTGTAATAAATTAGGAGAGTTATTTAATAAGTTTTATGATAAATTTTGGCAATATAGGAATGCAGATATGTTACATAACTTTGAGCATTAGTAGAAGCAACTTATAAGTATTTCTAATGCAAGGTTATATTTTGAATAGTATTTTATAGATATTGGTTTTCTTAGGCATATGCATATATTACAATAGTATTTACACTTAGAATTTAGTTTATGTCTTTTGTTGAAAGTCTAAATACATATATCAAGAGAGTATTAGAAAGCAGTAATATGTTATTATGTGATTTGGATAAGATATTAATGGACTAAAGCAATAAGAAACAAAACTGAAAGCAATATGATAAATAAAAATAAGGTATTTTATCTATAACAAGTATTGTCACTATTTTTTCTACTATCGAATCTTTGGTAAAATGCTATTTGAGGCCAAATATTTTTTATTTTTTAATAAAATAGATAAAAGAAAGTTTATATTATACAACTAATCATTCTATAATTGAAAAGATTGAATTACTTACTATTTATGAGTCTTTACAAAATAGTGATATAGATAATAAACCTAATGCTATTAATTTATTTATTAAATATTTCTTAGATTATTTAGAACAAAATACAATTGTAAAGGTTTGAATATTATTAAGAATTACAGATAGTAGAATTAATTACTTTATATTTCTTCTTACTAATGATTTATATAGCTGTACCTGTCTTTTATAACAAAAAAAAGTCTTGTTTGTTAATATGTACTTTTACCATCTATTAAATATTACAATGAAAATACAATTTAGTTTACAACTAATTGTAAAATACTGGATTCTAAAAGACTAATAATTGGATGTTGCAAAAGAGTGCTTACATTTTGATCAATAGTTTAGTATTACTGTTACTAATATAAATACTACATCAAAAAGTAGCAAAAGTCAATTCATGTAATTGCAGCTGTTTGTTAATAATAAAATTGATAAAACCATAAATGAAGAGTTTATTAATAAGATGCTTTTATATAGAAAAGTTTAAGGTCTCATATATACTATAGTAAATAAATATATGTTGCATCATAATTATAAATTTGTTCATTTAATTAAAAATTATTTGAGCAAGGTTCAAATTAGAAAAGATAAATTGATTAAAAAACAAAAAACATCAATGCATACTTCATTTAATAAATATATTATTGAAAACACTTTATTTGCAAATCCTTAAAAAGTGGTCATCAAAGAAAGACTAAAAGCATCAAGTCACCAAAATATTATAAATATTACATCACAAGAAACAAATAATAAAAAAAAACATGAACAATATAGTTGCAGATTTTGTAAAGAGCCAAGACATAATGTAGCAACTTGTTTATATAAAATGAAAGAGTAAGTATATGATGTTGATAAAGATTGATAAGAGTTGGTAACAGTTATTGATCTAATGTGTATGTAATTATATTGTATTATGTATATTTGTATACTTTATTTGATTGCTTGTTGTATATTTGCATATACTACTTACTTATGCATGCTTGTATATATCATTATCATATTTACAACTTAGAGGCTATTAGTTAAGATTATTGTAAGCAAATATATATTTATTGTATAATTCAATTATAATGCTATGATTAAATATTTTATACTATATATAAATAATTTGAATTGTTACTTTTTGATAACTAATTAGTTTCAAGAACATTATATATATGTTTGCTAATATATTCAATAAAAATTAAACAAATTGTTCAAGTTCTAGTTATATTAGTAAAAATTAAAAATTTTGCATTCAATGTATATGAAAATATTACAGAAATAGTATTATATATAAATTGTATAGATGTAAACTAAGAAATTTAAAATGAGAAATGTGGCAACCTAGTAAAGTGATTAGGTTGTTAACCCTTCAAGTGGTAAGTTGGGTGTTCAAATCTTATCAATAGTGAAAATTTGAATAATCACTTATATAATATTTGTATTATAGCAACTGTTATTTATAATTGGATTAAAATACCTGTAATGGCAGTTACACTAGCATGACTGGCAGGTCATGGGGTATTCATGTAACAGCTATGTGATATTGTCTTTTGGGACAAGGTCTGTAGTTATATGAAGGAATACAAACTGGCAATTAGGTGATGCAAACACTAGATAAGTTCTTGTAGTCATATAAATACATTGAAATTGGATAACAAGAAGTCTATTTGAAAAGACCTGAATAGAAAAGTAGCTGAATCTTTGATAGCTTTACTGTAAAAGCTAGTTTGAAAAAACAGATATTAAGATTATAGTATCTGATTATAGTAGCCAGACAGGCAAGAACCTCTGGGTTGAGAGTCTTAGAGTTACTACCAACTAGGCTATCAGAACAAACTAAAGAAAAAGAATATTAGATTAACCTAATATACTGATGGACTAATTGTAGTCCTATACAGACTATCTGAATTGTGAATTTGGTAAAAAGATAGATGAAAAGGCAGAGGTATACTAAAGTATCAGAGTTATGCTATAAAGTAGATGCTAGGGTCTAAGTGAACTCTACAAGGGCATAGTGGTTTAATGGTTAAGCCTTGATGCAAGTGTTAGTTCTGTCATAGCAATACTTGATTAGCTGTAAAAATGAATACAAAAGGCTTTGAGAGGTTTACTTCAAAAATAAAATAGTTCTAAGATTAAGATAATGATCTGGGTATCAAGTATGACTTAATAAAATTAACAGGTTTGCAGGTTTAAAGATTTAAAGTAAAATACCTAAGCAAGGATGTTAATATGGCAATTAGTAAGAAACCTTTGGATAAACTTTTTAAATAAGTAATATAGAAAAGTTATATGTATAACCAATTGTATGCTTTTCTTGTAATGGTTTACTGGATGATATTTACTATTGTTAAATAAAGTCAAAAGATCCAAAAGGTCATCTTAATACCAAAAAAAAACAAAAAATTTACAAATAATATATTGATATGATTAGTGAAACTTAGAGTTATCTTTTATAAATAATTTTTTTCTTATTGTTAGAGTTAGAACAAGTGCTAATATTGTCATCTTTTTATGTTAGAGTTAGTATAAATTATAGAAAAAGTCTTTTAAAGCAATGCAGATGTTGAATATAGGTTGTAAAGAAAGTTTCTTAAAGCAGTACACATGTTTGATAAAAAAACATTGCAATATATTATATGATCATGTAACAAATAAAAAAACTATTAAAATTGCTGCTTTATCGAACTAGCACTAACTTTATCAACACTGTATAGCCAGCATTATTATATTAGAATAAAAAGAATTAGAAATTAGATCACAATTTAAATGTCAGTAGCAATTCTTAAAACTAACAAGTTTTAATTATATAAGGTATATAATAGTTAATAAACTCTGTTATGTTATTACATGACTTGTATAATTTAATAACAAGAAATATACTAACACAGTATATATATAATTTAGTGCATAGCAAAATGATTAGCATTAAACTAATTGATATAGCATAACTAGCATTAAAGTTAGGATTAGTGTTAGGATATAGTGGAATTAATATCTTTTCAGTTTTTTTAGTTAAATTACATAACTTTGTATAATATATATGATCTTGTGTAAAATAATATATAATCTTGTATACTATCATAATATATATCTGTTATATAAATTTGGATTTTTTAAAATAGTACATCTGCATTATAATGTTCCTCTTATATAATACAAATAAATATATCTAATTAATATATATAATTTATATAACAAATATATATTATATTGTTATACAAAGTTATGTATTATGTTATATATAATTATATATGTTATACAAGATTATATAATTCAACTAAAAAAACTAAGAAGATATTAATTCTGCTATACTCTAATGCCAATCCTAACTCTAATGCTGATTATGCTGATTAATTAGTTTAATGCTAGCTATTTTGCTATATACAAAATTATATGTATGTAGTGTTAATATTTTCTTATTATTAAATTATATAAGTTATATAATAATATAACAAAGTTTACTGACTATTATATATCTTATGTAACTAAGACTTGTTAGTTTTAAGAATTGCTACTAACATCTAATACATGATCTAATTTTCTAATTCTTTCTATTCTAAT